CCCCTGTGTTTATTCTTGATCCAGATAGCATTTCTTCCACTTCCATAGTCAAAGCCAAAACACAGCACCCGAAGGTGAATCTAAACCAAGCATTTTAAAAAAACAAATACGACATACGACACCTATTTGATTCCACATATATAAAATGTCCAGAATAGGCAAATATTTAGAGATAAAAATTAAAGTAGTGGTTCCCAGGGCCTAGCCGGGGAGGGGAATGGGGAGTGCCTGTTAATGGCTTTGAGGCTTCTTTATGGGGTGATGGCAATATCTAAAATTAGACTATGGTGATGATTGCAAAATGATGTCACTGTAGTAAAAAACATTGATTTGTACACTTTAAGCAGGTGAATTTTGTGTAACCTATAATACAATAAATATGTTAAAAAATCCAAGTACATACAATTTTGCAAATATTGCTCCAGCTGGTCCCTCCTCTCCTTAGCCATGGATGTGGTCATTGCCAGATAATATTTTGGTGGAAAGGGCGGCAAACAATTTCCAAAGACCCTCCTCAGCTGAAAGATCCAGAAAGCATGCAGTTAAGGCAAGTGAGCCTCCAATTCAAGGTTATGAGCTACTAAAGCCTCTTCTTGGGGCAAGTCTTATCCTAGCTGACCTAGCACTTTATTTAATCCTTCAATAGCCAAAAGAAGAAAAAGAGGATAGTTTGATTTTCTTTTTTTTTTTTTTTGAGACAGAATCTCACTTTGTCCCCTTTGGTAGAATGCCCTGGCATCATAGCACTGAGGCAGGAGATCCACAAGATGAGCCTGGAGCATCTTGTAGCTCCGGAAAGTAAGGAAGTACTCTACCCAACAGCAAAACAAATCAACAACAGGAGTACGTCGCAGACACCTGGGAGCAAATTGAAAGAGCTCCCAAGGAGCAAAGATGGAAAAATTTGAACAAAAAAAGTAACATTGAGGTATAACCCAGGCCAGGCATGGTGGCTCATGCCTGTAATCCCAGCACTCTGGGAGGCTGCAACCGGTGGATTGGTTGAACTCATGAATTCGAGATCAGCCTGAGCAAGAGTGAAACCCCCATCTTTATTAAAAATAGCAAAACTAGCTGGGCATTGTGGTGGGTGCCTGTAGTCCCAGCTACTTGTGAGGCTGAGGCAAGAGGATTTCTTGAGCCCCAAGAGACTGAGGTTGCTATGAGATATGATGCCATGGCACTCCACCAGGGCAAGGGTGAGACTGCCTCAAAAACAAAAAACAAAACAAAACACCAAAAATGTATAACCCAAAGTATAAGGAGTCCTTATGGATATAATACTGAAAGATAAGTAGGATAGAATAGGCAAATCTCCTGTGCAGAAGAATATCAGATAACTTATGTAGATGCTCCTTCCTCAGGGAGCGGGGCATAAGTCCCCAGTCCTGAAGAGTGGGCTGCACATAGTGACTTCCTTCCAAAGAGGGCGCTACGGAAGGGAGGCAAAAATCACCTTACAGGAAAGAAATGTGACAGACACTACTTCAGCCAGGTGATGGAGGTCAACAGCCAGAGGGATGAGTCAGGTTGGTAGCAGGTACCCTCGACATGGTGAGTAGAATGGCACTTTGTCTCTGGGGTCTACATTCCCAAATCCTATAATTTCTGTCTAATCATGTGAAAAATATAAGACAAACTCTAACAGAGGGATAGCTTACAAAATATCTGAAGAGTACTTCTCAACACTATCAAGGTCATCAAAAATGAGAAAAGGCTAAGAAACTGTTAACAAGCACTTAAGGAGACGGGATGACTAAATGTCATGTTGTACCCTGGCTGGGATCCTGGAACAGAAATAAGACATTAGATAAAAACTAAGGAAGTCTGAATAAACTATGAACTGTAGCTAATATAACAATAATAATAATTTATCACCACTGTGATAATGTACTGAGGTTGGGTGTGGTGGCTTGGTGTACTGAGGCAGGAGAACTGCTAGAGGCCGGGAATTGGAGACCCGCCTGGGCAACACAGCAAGACTCCCATCCCCACCCCCAAATCTTTGATAATAAAAGTAGGTATCTCTGGTTCATTGATTGTAACAAATGTGCCATACTAATAGAAAATCTTTTTTTTTTTTTTTGAGACACAATCTTACTTTGTCACCCTTGGTAGAGTGCTGTGGCATCATAGCTCATAGCAACTTCAAACTCTTGGGCTCAAGAGATCTCTTGCCTCAGTTTTTCATTTTAAGTATGATGGGGTCTGACTCTTGCTTAGGCTGGTCTTGAACTCATGAGCTCAAGCAATTCATCTGCCTCAGCCTTCCGGAGTGCTAGGATTATTGGCATGAGCCACTGCACCAGACCCTAATCGAAAATCTTAATAATGGAGGGAACAGGGTGTGGACTATGTGGGAATTCTGTACTGTCTTTTTTGTAAACCAAAACTGCTCCAAAAAATAGTTTATTTTTTAAAAAACCCTGATGTTCTGGCTTATTTTTAAAAATCCAAAGATCTGAAATCAATAGGTCACACTCCCTCAAACTACAATCTGTTAAAATTATTGCACCACACCTCACCATCCCTCACCTATTTGCCCAACTTCATGCTCTAGAAAAGATTTTTAAAACAAATTTCAAAAAATAGTAAAAAGAAAATCATGACCTAAAATTGATTTTGGAAAAAAGAAGTAAAAAATTACTTGTAACCTCTGTAACCATTTAAATTTGCAACTTCTTCTGTAAGCCTCATATAAAATATTACAGCAACGATTCGGTTTCTTTTAAATTCAAAGACATTTTTCTGCCATGACAGATGTCCAAAGCATCTCAGGTGGAGAATCACCCCAGGCAGAGCTGCTCAAACAACCTGGGATTTATGCACCCCATCTCTACTAATTCCATTAAATAGAAACAGAAATTTGTCTTCTTGCATGCAATTATTTCTTGATTAACTGATTAAGTGATCTTTAAAAGGCAGTTATCTTCTTTGGCATGTGTTTATAAATGTCATAGACGCTCCCAAATTGGTGCTAATCACAGCAGCCTTGAGTCAACAGGCTGTCTGCCTTATCCATCTGCAGGAGGGAATCTTGATGCGGACCTGAGGCCAAGAGTTGGGGAAGAGGCAATAAGGATTAAGGTTCTAATATCTATCACAGAGCAAACCTTCCCAGCAGGTTTTACAACTGAGCTGACTTCTCAAGGTATCTCTCCCCTCCCTTCTCTGATACTGGTCTAAGAGGGAAGATAAACAAACAGTACACTGTGTTGTTAAGTCAGCCAAAAGTCAACCATCAACACCACAAGTTTGACCCCATCAAAACAGAATCTCCATGGGGGACAGGATGGTGATGACAGGGGTGCAGGTCACAGCTGAGCTCACACAGACATGCCATCACTTTCCCAGGTCCTGTCTTTGTGCATTAGCTCTCCACGTACCCTGACGTGGACCCAGGACCACCTTATCTGCACCAGGTGCTGCTCCTCAACCTCAGAGTTATCCAACAACGTATAAATCTGATTCCTAAAGCCAAACATCAAACTCACTGCCGGCACCTAATTTAACAGAGTACATGTTAAATAATAGAAACTCAGTAAACATTTAAGTAAATGAATAAATCAGCTAAGTTTATAGGATGAAAACCACTCTATAAGGATGCAGACCTTCCCAGGAGATAAACTTATACTCACCAAACACACACAATCTGATTATTATTTTTGTATAGTGCTTTGTATTAAATTAGGTTAAGAATTCTTAGCCATTTCATGCCCTCTATTGAATAGGAAGAATAAAAACTAGGTGAGAAGAGGCTAGGAAAGGTCACCCAATCTTTAAGTCTCAGACTTAGGGTAGCCAAACAAAATACAGGATGCCCAAATAGTGCATGGAACATATACTATAAACTGTTCAATATATTATAAATAGTTTATACCAGTAGAAAATCTGAAATTCAGATTTAACTGGCAGTCCTACTCAGCTTCTGTATCCATAAAAAGGGTTGGGCAGCTTGAACAAAATCCTGTGCCTGAAACTCTCATAACAGAAAGTAGATACTGGTTGCCTGGGACCAGGGGTGGCTGGAGGGATCAAGAGCAAAGATGATAAGGAGACTTTTATACTGTTTTTTGAGACACAGTCTTACTTTGTCACTCTCAGTAGAGTGCCCATCATAGCTCACAGTAACCTCAAACTCTTGGGCTCAAGTGATTCTTATGTCTCAGCCTCCTGAGTAGCTAGGACGACAGGTGCCCGCCAAAGTGCCAGGCTATTTTTAGAGATGGGGGGTGTCACACTGGCTCAGACTGGTCTTGACTCCTGAGCTCAGGCAATCCACTTGCCTGAGCCTCCCAGAGTGCTAGGATTACAGGTATGAGCTCTCACTCCTGGTCCTGACAAAGGAGAATTTTAGAGTGAGAGAACTTTTAAAAATGTTGATTATGATGGTGGTAATTGCATTTATTTACTAAAATTAATCATACTGAACCCTGAAAATTGGGAACTTTCATTACACTATTCCAAAATGTAGTACAAACATGTTAAGTCTAGAACTCAGTCATTTGACTCACTGTTTCACTGACACAATTTATTTTGTCAGCTTTAGAAAGAAACCACATAATGTAAGTTTTGGAGATCAAATCCTGACCACAACACTAACAGTATGACTTCAGAAAAACTGTTTTTCAGTTTCTTCATCTGTTAAATGGGACTAATTATAATCCCAGCTCATAAGATGCTTGTAAAAATGAAGCTATTACCTGTAAAGTGTTTGGCACCAATCTCAGCACATGGTAACTGCTCGCTAGTTAATGTTTTAAATTAATAATATTAATAACCACCTAAGATCTAAATAGTTTCTTTAAAAATGTAGTAGTTCTGGGCAGTGCCTGTGGCTCAGTAGGTAGGGCACTGGCCCCATATACCGAGGGTGGCGGGTTCAAACCCAGCCCCAGCCAAACTGCAACAAAATAGTAGCCGGGCGTTGTGGTGGGCACCTGTAGTCCCAGCCAGAGGCTGAGGCAAGAGAATTGCCTAGGCCCAGGAGCTGGAGGGTGCTATGAGCTGTGTGATGCCACAGCACTCTACTGAGGGTAATAAAGAGAGACTGTCTCTTAAAAAAAAAAAAAGTAGCAGTTCCTATGGAAAGGGGGAAACGATAAACATAAAGTGTAATGAAATTGGAAACTAGATAAAGAAATCTGCACCTTGGCTCGGCACCTATAGCTCAACCGGCTAAAGCGCCAGCCACGTACACCTAAGGTGGCAGGTTCGAATCCCCAGCCCGGACCCGCCAAACAACGATGGCTGCAACAAAAAAATAGCCAGGCATTGTGGTGGGCGCCTGTGGTCCCAGCTACTTGGGAGGCGGAGGCAGGAGACTCACTTGAGCCCAGGAGTTGGAGGTTGCTGTGAGCTGTAATGCCACGACTACCCAGGGGGACAGCTTGAGGCTCTGTCTCAAAAAAAAAAAAAGAAATCTGCACCTTAGGATTTAAAACAATCTGGGACAAATAAAAGCGTTCATTAACATCTATTATATGCCCCACTGGAGGCTCTAAGCTGTAGCAATTCAGTATTTGAGGGCCCCTGTTGTGAACATGACTTCTCAAATAGAAGATGAACAATAAAAGTTTACACAATTCATGTCTCTGATTCTGGACCTGTTAGGGTTTGATTAGTTTGTTTTCCTGAAATTAAGCATTTCTGGCCAGATTCAGGGATTCCTGAAGCCTCTGAGTCAGCAAATGTTTGCTGAGAATGTTTAATGTGCCGGGCTCTGGGAGAAAGTGGTCCTTAGTCTTCACAAGCATTCTGGGAGACTGACATCCATAACGACCTACTTGCTTCTTACTTCTATTGAGAAAATTGGGCAGAGGGAGAGGAGAAGCATTCAGCCAGTGATCTGTCCCAGCCCTCTGCTGCCTCCTGCTTTGCACGCGGACATGGTTACCTCCCTTTCCCCATATCACACTGCAGGAGGACGGATGAGCGTGGGAGATGGTATCATAACTTCTGCCTCCAAATACCTAAAACAGCCATCTTTTCTCTTCCATTCACACTCCCCTCTGCCTGTCTCTGTAGTCCTCATAACTCCCCACTCACTCACTCCTCCTAACTTACTCACAACTAGCTTCTCACCTTTCAGAAGTCTGAGTCCATGCCTCTGCCTCTACATTCAATACTGTGTTGCAGGCATTACTAATACAAAGATGACTGCTCAAATTAACTAATAACTACATTACAACTGCTTTCTTGTGGATACCAGAGATACTTAATCAGACCTTTAAAATGGACTTTTGCCAGGTGTGGTGGCTCATGCCTATAATCCCAGCACTTGGAGGCCAAGGCAGGAGGATTGCCTGAGCTCATAGGTTCAAGACCAGCCTGAGCCAAAGTGAGACCTTGTCTCTAAAAATAGCCAGGCTTTGTGGCAGGCACCTGTAGTCCCAGCTACTTGGGAGGCTGAGGCAAGAGAATTGCTTGACCCCAGGAGTTTTTGAGGTTGCTGTGAGCTGTGACACCATAGCTCTCTACCAAGGGTGACAAAGTGAGACTGTCTCAGAAAAACAAACAAAAAATAAAACGGACTTTTCAATGCACCATGGTATATAAGCAAGAAGGCTCTCTGCAGCGACCATTTTAGTAGCAGAAAAATCAAGCTGAGCTGTCCATCAGCAAGCAGACAGTTAAATAAACTGGTGTGGTATGTCCACTCACTAGAAACCCACAGACTGTCTGAAAAGACTCTCATGAAGAATGCTAATAGCTGTTGCCTCTGGGCAAATTTTTTTCTATCTTCTCTACACTTCTCTTTTTAACTTCAGGTATGTGCTCTTCAGAATCTAAAACTGAAAGAAAAATTCATAGAGCAGGGAAAGGAGGGTAACGTTTATTTCCAAACTTCCATTCGCTCCTATGACTCATTTTGAAGACTTACAACTTATAAGGAGTATAAGAACAATAAAACCTATTAGAATGGACTAATAAATCAGTCTGCCTCTCAGAGAAAGTACTGTCCAGACATCAGGGGGAGTAACTAAAGTAGGAAATGGCCTTCTAACTTGATAAGTCATCTGTTTCCTTGGTTCCCAGCCTGCCAGTACTTGCAGCCTGTGAATAAGGCCATTTAAGAACAAAAATGGAGACACACCTTTATAAAGGGGGTAAGCTTAAGAAACTGTAGCGAAAAGGAGATTATCTTTGTTTTTTTTTTTTAATTGAGACAGAGTGTCATTCTGTCGCCCAGACTGGAGTACACTGGTGCTAATGTAGCTCACAGCAGCTTCTACCTCCCAGCCTCAATCAGTCCTCCTGCTTGGGCCTCCCCAATAGCTAGGACTACAGTCACATCATCATCATGCCCAACTATTTTTTTCAATTATTCTTTGTAGAAATGAGGGTCTCACATGTTGCCCAGGCTGGTGTAGAACTCTTGGCCTCAAGTGATCCTCCTGTCTCCGCCTTCTAAGTGCTGGGATTACAGGTGTGAGCCACCAAGCTAGACTAGAGAGGAGATTAAATATCCCTGCACAAGATTCCTAAGACTCTATCCGTTGGTCTAGACTCTGCTTGATTAATTTTGAAGGAGGAGGGGCATTGTCCTGGGGAACAGAGGACACTTAAATGGAGCCCACTAGAACCCCGGGGCTCTGCCAGGGCCCATATCTCACAGTTGTAAATAATTAGAAGCCACAAGTATTCGATTATTCATGGAGCCGTATGGCAAGCAATTCACACTTAATCCTTGCTACAACCCATTTCACAGATGAGAAGCCTGAGGCACTGAAAGGCCCAGAGTCTCGCCAGAGTCACACGACCCAGGCCCTTGGCAGACTTTTCCCCACCCGCCTCCAACTCGCTCACCTGTTCGTTCCATCCGTGCAGCTGGCTGTAGCGCACCTTGCAGAAGAGGAAGCCGTCCAGGTACACGGAATACAGCTGCAAACACACAGGCACCCCGGCCCGGGTTAGCGCAGGGAGCTGCGGACCAGTGCCACCGGCCCCCGCCCTGCGCAGCCCGCCCCAGGCCCCAGGCGCACCACGTAGCGGCCCCCCAGCGTGTCGGGGCACTGCTGGGACAGCGGGATGCAGAAGTGCATCTTCATGGCTGGAGCGGAAGAGCAGCGCTGGGAGTCCGACCTGCAGCGGCCAGGCTGTCCGCGGTCTGAGTTGGGCGGTGCAGCTGAGCTGGGCCGCTGTCGCCCAGGTGGGGCCCCTCTAGTCCCCGCCCCTCCGGTCTCTGGCGTTCTGGGATGGGTGGGGGCGGGCCGCTTCCAGGGCCGCCCCGTTCCCACCTAGTGCATGGTGGGCTGGTAGCATTTTATCCAAGTACATGCCCTACGGGGCTTGAAAAAAGTTTGTGTCCATTACCTGCTTACTGCCTGCAGTGCGTGATGAATTTAAGATTTTAAAACATACATAAATCTGGTAATTACCCTATGACTAGCCCAATTACACCAGGTTCAATTGTTTGTGTGGTCGTTAAATATAACATTTTAGATACGCTGCAATAGATGTAACCCTACTTTAGTATTTTTAAAACCCTTTTCTCTCTTAGTATACAAGAAACATCAAAAAAAATAGAAGGAGCTTGGATCTGTCTCCGTCTGGGAGAAGCCCTGGTTTCAAACAGAGCCAGCGCCCAGTTTGCTGGATTCACACCAACACTTTATTCTCTGGACCACCCTTCCCAAGTTCTTTCAACAGTCTCTCATTTTTAGTTGCTGTGGAAAATAATTCTTCTAATGTTCTTGCTTCAGTTAAATCAGAAGAGAATTCCTCCTGCCTTGCCGTGGTCACAGGTGGAGGGGCAGCAGAGTCATGTCCCAAGGTCCTGAGCAGTCCATGGGCTCATCCATCCTCCCTCCTCTCCTTTAACCCACGTTACTCTTCCTGGTAAACATTAGAGCAACATCCTATCAAGGACAGAACAGGCCTAGGGAGTGGAGGAACTTTTCCAAGGTCACAGAGCATCTTTTCATAGGTCAGAATCATTGAAAGTCCTTAAAAATGCCCATTATCTCTGGGGTAAGACCCGAGTGCCTCCAGTGGGCGTCAGAGACCAGGGGAAGGGGAGCCAAGACTTGCTGGGCACTTCCTGTTTCTCCTGCTGGCTTACTGTGTGCCGGGCCCAAAAGACATTGTGACATTTAATTTTCACAGTAACCTGTGAGCTAGGGACCATGATAGTTCTGTTCTTACAGAAAAGGGAATTGCACCATAGGAGAGGTGGTATCAGGTAGAGGGTTAAAAGGAGGGCAACAGAATTCGTATCCCCACTTAGTGGCTTCCAGCTGAGAGGAGTTGGGCAAGTTAATGGGCTCTTTAAGCTGCAGCTGCTTCTTCTATGAAATCGTATTAATAACTGTACTCACTAAAATAAATAAATAAATAAATGACCGTACTCACGTCGAGGTGATTTTCAGCCCAGGGTAGACGGGCCTTAGGGTCTTCCCCTGCCTGTGGGTCGTCTCTGATCTGGAGGGCTAGCCTCTTCTAGAGCCTTCTGGGGCAGAGGCTGATTGGGTAGGTGTTGAGGTCTGATCCAATCTTTCGGGCAAAGTGGAGGAGCCCGGTGAGGCCCAGAAGTGGCCTCAGCCTCCAGGGAACTTTCTTGCTCCTGTGGATGGCCTGGGCCCTGGCTCCACCCCATGGCAATCTCCACACAGGGCCATTGCTTTCCTTTCATTTATTCCACCCCAGAAGCTGAATTGGAACAAGAGAGACCTCTGCACAAGTCCCTATCCTCCTCCATCCCTGACCTCTGCTCATGGGTCTTAGGCACTCATTCGGTCAGTGAATATTACTGAGCTCCCTCTGCGCACTCCGCACTGCGTAAGATTGAGAACTTGAACATGACGGAGAGCTAAGCACGTGTGTAACAACAGTTAGCTGATGCTATTGGAGATGCTTCTCTGAACGCTTTACATGGATGAAGTCATTTAACGCTCCCAAGTGCCTGGAGTAGATACTGGTATTATCCTCCTGTCATAGCTGGAGAGACTGAGGCACGGCACAATTAAGAAATGGGCTCTGCATTGCAGAATCTGCAGTGGTGACATGGGACCATGAAACAAATGGCCTCCATCTGGAGTCTGTGCTCTGTGAGGCTGCTTTTGGGGGGGGGGCCTCAGGAAACCCTCACCCTTACTTCACAGGCATGCCCTTTATAGTTTTTAATTCTTAATGCAGTTTTAAATAAATAAACTGTTATGGTATTCAGTTTAGGAATCAATTCTATAACGTTTCCAAGGGGTAATTTACTCTATGCCTGGCATACAGTCAGCATTTGGTAAGAGCTTAGCATTCCTTCCTTCAGTCAGGAGTCACTGGGTGCCTCTTATGGGCCAGGCACTGCAGTGACAATGATGGACATGACAGCCTCAGTCTCCTAACATTACAGAGCCTAAGCCTAGTTTACAGATAAAAAAAAGGTGCGGTTTCTGTAGTGTGGCACATAGCATCACAGAGCAGGTGCACGACTGACTGCTACTTAAGCCTTTTAACCATTATTTGCATGCCTCGTCTCACCTACTTTGGGTGTTCCCTTTTTGGCTTTGATATCTGGTAGCCCCCTCTTTTGGTACCCACTCTGTCTCGCTGTGGAACTTTCTCCCTCTCCTGAGTCCTTCACACCCTTGTGCCTCTGGGGTGGGCAGTGCAGTAGAGACCACGAGAGAGCCAGCAACGTGGCTCCTACTGACTGGTGCTCTAGCCAGCACTGCGGGGCCCACCCAGTGTGCATGATGATGCCCTTGGCTCCATCTTTTCTTATAGCTCAGGTTTTGGGAGCCTTACTTCACTGGTCAAAGCCGTGGACCGTGTGAACAAGGGACTTGAACACACATGGAAGAGCTTTCTGATTGATGGACAGCTTTATAGAGCAAACACAGAGATAGGAGCCGTGAGGTAAGATGCATACAGGTAATTCTTCCCACCTAGTCGGTGTCTTCTTCACTCCCTTGAGGGTCAGATGGGTGAGTCAGAAAGACGAGGCTGGAAAGCTTGGGCTGTGCACCTTTCTCTGTTATGACTGCACCTGTATTGGGCTGTGCTGAATGCCTACAGTCCTTTGGAATATGTGGAAATAAACAAAATGGTAGGACACAAAGGAACTGCAAAATTGCCCTGGTAGTTCTGAAATTTCCATGGTTCCTGGGTGATTTCCTGGTCCAGAACACCTAAATCTAGGGAGTTGAATATTGTCCCCCCAAAATCCACATCTATGTGGAATATTAGAATGGGACCTTATCTGGAAGGAGGGTGTCTGAGATAAAATTAAGTTAAAGCTCAAAATGAGATCCTACGGGATAAGGGGGGCTCTGAATCCAAGGAGAGTGTCCTTGTAAGGCACAGGAAAGGACATCCAGGCACACACAGACATGGATGACCCTGTGAAGATGGAGGCAGAGTGTGGAGCTGTGCTGCCACAGGCCAAGGAACTCCAGGGGCTACCAAATGTTCAGGAAAGGTGAGGAAGGATTCAGCCCTGAGGCCTTCAGGAGTATGGCCCCGCTCACCCTTCTGGCCTCCAAGAACTGTGAGACAGTTTCTGTATGTGGTTGTAAACCACCCAGGCTGTGGTACTTTGTTAGGGCAGTGATGAGAAAATACTGTCCTGACCCTGTGACCACAATCAGCCTCATGCAGAGTATAGAGGGCAGAGTCCTGCTGTGGGTGTGTCTGTGAGGAAGAGACAGAGGGAGAGCATCCCCAAGGAACAGAGACCTGTGATCTGATAGACAGTGTCCTGAAAATAATACCAGGACTGGCTGGCCCCACACAGCACTCTACATGGGCCAGGCATGGTTCTCCATGCCGATGGATACAAACTCACCTTCTCCTTGCAACATCCACAGGTGATCAGTGGAAGGTCATCCCTGTTTTTCAGCAGGTGAAATTGGGGTAGAGGGAAATCAATAACTCACCCGAAGTCATGCAACCTCAGAGGGGAGTCAGGTTTCAAATCCAGGCGGTCTAGAAAGTCTCCAAGGTCCTTGTCTTGAATCACTTCCCCAATCAAAAAAATCTTTGTTCTGTTCTTAACCACTGGGAGGAGCTCTAAAAAATTCAGGGTCCCCAGATTTGGGGGATGATCTTAGGAAGAAATCACTCTGTGAAAATAACACTGCTGTGAATCAGGCTGTGGCAAAAGTGACAACTACTCACCCTCCCTGGGGACCTGTAAATGTGCTGCTGAGCAGCTCAGCTCTGCCCATGGGCGTCTGTGCAGGCACCACGTTAGGTGGGGGGATTGAAGGAGGAAGGTGGGAGAGGTGAAGATGAAAGAGGGGACCAAGCCTGACGGCCTCACAGCCCACCGGGAAGCAGATACGTACACAGACGGCTAAACACCAGCCCCAAGGGGAGCTCCTGGGCAGAGTGGCATCCAGTGTGCCAGGACAGCACACAGAGGGGATGTTAACCCAGCAGATGTGGATGGAGGAGGGGGCGGCAGGAAAGGGCATTTGAGAGGGATCTACAGGATGAGATAATTGTTGAGAGCATTCTAGGAAGACAACACAGACAAAGCCTGGGATGATCAAACAAAACAAAACAAAAACAAATGAACAAAAAATTCTTAAGGAGTTTGCTGTTACAAGGAAATAGAAGTGAGGCCTGAAGAGGTGGATGCTGAGTCTGGAGAGAGGGAGCAGCCTGGTATTTTGGAGGCCATAGCTGCTGGGCTAAGAACTTGGTTTGGTAGTTTTAAAGAGTGAAAGGGTGTGGACAGGGTACTTTTTAGATGGATCCTCTGGCGAGTGTGCAGAGAATAAGGGGGACTGCCCTGTAACCAGAAGCAGTCAGGCCAGCAAGGACGTTTTTCATGAGAAGAGACTAGAGTACAGTTCCTGTAATGCCCTTCTCCAAAACTGGGAGCTCTGGGCCCGAGGTCTGGGTGACATTACCTGTAGTGACCCCCTCTCGGATGTTCACAAAGTGCTTTAGTGTATTCGGGGCTCTGAGATGTCTGCAGCAAAGAAACCTGGACTCTGTTTTAGCTTGTGCCTATCACACTGGGGGGCAGGGGGGCTAGTGTCCCAGGAAAAGCTGTCATTTTGCGAAAGAAGACAAAGGCCTGGGCTATGTCAAAGGGGGTGGATTA